TTATATGAACAAATTCCTCCTTCCCAAGCTGGCAGAAAAAAACCTGCAAAATCAACTTTTTCCCCATTTCAGGGCTCTTTCTGACTGCTGAGCCTGCACACAGTGTCCATGTGCTGCTCCAAGCTGCAAGTAGTGGCCACAGCATCCCACAGCATGCTGAGCCGCTCTGCCCACATCCTTGGGAAGGAGCTCCATCTGCTGAGCCAGTGGCCCAGGCTGAAACCCAGGGAGTGCTTCCAGGCTTGTCCCAGGGCTGTGGGGTGACCGGTCATTGGGCATCCCCTGGGCAGCACCGAGCCTGTCAGACCCTGTTGCATCAGGATCAGTGCTTGTGAGGAGCTTCGGGGAGTTTTTGAGGTGCCTTCCCCTGAGGAAGAAGCAAACCAAGCAGAGGGCGATAAGGAAAGCGCAGGCAAGGGGGAAAAAAGGTCATTGTGTGCCGCTGCTGCAATCGCGTGAGCAGGCTGGGGGATAGTGGAAACATAGGAAAAGGGGGGGGAAAAGGGTGCTCTCATCTCAGGCTGCTGTGAATGAAGTCAGTGAGCTGGGCTCGTGCCAGGTGAAGGAATAAGCCGGGAAGGGACCTGGGTCTGATCTGGGCTTCCTCCCACTTAGACCCAGGCTCAGTTGGAGGCTCTGCTTGGAGAGTGAGCCCTTGGGAGCTGCCTGCAACAGCAGCGAGATAAAGAGGCTTAATGCTTGAAGGCTTTCGCCTAGGAGGAGAACCCCTCTCAGTTGCTATTTTCTTGTGAGAATGAGCCAGAGACCTACCATGACCACCAAATGCTCCAGGTAGGTCCCTGAGGCATGCTTCAGGCTCTGCATGGGTTAAGCCAACTGCCTGCCAGGATGAGGGGTCCTGGGCAACTTACCTCATACCTGCCCCTGTGGGACTTCTTGCAGAACTGGTGCAACCACAGTGGGAGACGAGGCTCTTGGGCAGGCTGAGGGCATCTGCTCTGGGCTCCTCACAGTCTCAGCCTGCTGCTCACATGGGAGCAGGGCTGCAAGGACCACATGTAACCCAAGCATCCCTGGAGATGCTGCTTTATTCCAAACCAGCTCCACTTCCCGGCCACAGGAGAGTTCTGGTATGTAAAAATCTCTTTTTCCTTCTGCATCCCTTCTTGGAGATACAAGATCTTTACTGTGGTTATTTTCCTATATGTTTGATGCCAAGTGCTTCTCTGTGATCAAAGGTTTCACTGCAGAGACAACCCCACAATGGCCAGACCCCTCAGTTTGCCTCGGCACTTATCCAGCTTTGACCAGGGCAATGAAAGCCCATCTTCAAAGTAGATGTGGATGGAGGAACAAATTGTGATTAGTGCCAGCCAGCAGCCAGAGTGATGTGATAGGAGTTTTACCACTGAAACTCAGCCTGATCATAAGCAAGAGAGACTTCCCTGGGTTTTTCAGAAATGACCCAGCATGGCTGAAACTGATCCTTTCACAAGCACTTTGAACCAGGCACCCAGAAGGAAAAACCTGCAGAAGGCCAGACAGCTGAAAAGAAAGCTAATGAGCATTTGCACCTCTGCCCAAAGGAAGTTACCCATGGAGAGGGGAAGATTTCATCCCTAAAATTCTGAACCACTGGAGAGCCCCCCAGAGTCCCAGCCCTCCTCACCCCAGGCACCCGGTGCGAGTTTTGCTGTCCCTGTCCTGGGATGACACTGAGGGTACAAGATTGAGCTCAGATTTTAAGCTCAGTAAAGTCTTGCTGGCTCCAAGGCTGGGGTGAAAGCCTAATGGATGGTTGTGCTCTTCCTGAGCATCCCTTGGGTTTTAGGCTAGTGAAAAATTCGGCTCTGCTTGCTCTCCCAGATGCTGTGTGCTGGAAAGCAGTGCTGGTCCCACACCAGACAGGGCTGCATTTGGGTGCCTGCTGAGTGATCCCTGTGTTTGAAGATGTGGTGGGTAACACCATGTCCCTATCAGGAGATGAAGTTTCGCTTGCTCATCACTTCATTCTGATTAAATTCACCGTGAGCTGCAAAATGAAGAGGAAAAAGCAATGCACTCATCAAACTGATGAGGGAGCCAAGAACAAGGCTGCTCCACAGGATTCAGATCAGCAAGGACTAACCAAATGTGGAAATTACGTGACTGAGACCCAGCAATTATGGGACTATCCTGCTCTGTGTGGGAGAGACCACAGCTGGAAAGTAGCTTGCTCTCTCCTAGGGGCAGCCCGGGAATAGCTGTGGAAACGATTTGAAGAAAGCATCCCTACGCATGAGGCTACGCCATGCCATAAGCAAGCCAATGCATCATGGAAGAATGGGCTCTAAGGCTACAGAGCAATTTTATATACAAATACTTTCTTGCATGTATAAGAAATAAGGCCAAGGTGGTGTCCTGAAACCCTAAAAATCTCAGTGGCTGATGTTCAACTGATTCATTCTTGTCTGTGCTGACAGATCGCTTTTAGACTGACCACTTTTCTCCAAGGATTAAAAATGGCATCAGTTTCTGGGTTAGGGTGTCCTCAATCCAGTGCTGGGGGGGGTTCAGTGGCAGCCTGAACATCCTGTATCTCATTAAGGGATTGTCAAAGCCAGAAGAAAAGGATTTGCCTTTGGATACAGTGTTAAGCTGCATCTCCGGATGGAGCAGGTCTCCAGGTGGAACAGATCTCTGGTCCAGTGCCCCAGGGCAGGACAGTGAGCAGCAAGGAGAGATGCGGGGTTCTGTGCTGTGGCATTCCTTGTCACTCTTGATGCCAGCCGGAGGTGATGGCACCAGACCCAGGGGACAGCTGAGCCGAGATGCTTCAGGACATCACATTGGAAGAGGAGCACCAGCACATGCCCTCTAGAAGAAAAGTTGGAGACTTTTCCTTCCTTTCCTTCCTTTCCTTCAGGCAAGGAATTGAACATGGCTTAACAGCAGGTGGGAGACATTATCTGAAGCAAGAAGTTACCCTTCAAAAAGCTGGAATCACACCCTGGAGAAGAAAACACCTGGATTTCCTGAAGGCTTTGCACAGTTTAAAGGGTCCCAACAGGAACAGGGGAGACTCAGAATAAGAGAGAAGGTTAGAATATTAACCTGGCAAGGTTAAATATCTGCAGGAAGAGGGAAGTGGTGGGAATAAGGACAGGATCATTCTCCCCACGGAGCTCACAGGGGCTTGCCTAGGGCAAAATCTGAGCTGCCCATCATGCAGAGGCAGGAAAGCTGCTAAACACACTGGGACTGGGAAATCCTGAGATGGAAATGGCAGGAAAAGAGTAGGGGACACACTTATTATTTTCTTAGTTTTCCCTCAGCATCCTCTGTGGGTCCTTGCTGGATTCAGACCTGGGGTAAAACCTGTGGCCTGACCCTGCATGGTCCTTCCCACACTAAAACTGCAGTAAAGATCCCTGACAGCCCCCTGCCTGACAGGAGGGGGACACCTTCCTGGCACATAACAGGGAAAGGCTTTCTGGGTGTTAAAAAGCAACTGTGATCCAGTGGGTTGGGAGAAATCTGGGACTCAGGAGCTCAGAGACAGAATTCATGGCTTTGGGCAGATCACAGCCTCTCCGTGCCTCAGTTTCCCTTGTGTGAAATAGATGGAAGGGCCAGGAGGAAAAACATGGGAGATGTACCAGCTCTCAGAGTCAGAGCAATAGCAGGATCCATGGTAGAAGACCACGGCAACCTTTTCACCGGGATATTTGCTATGATGCTCTCCATCTGATGGCAAGACACCTCCAGCCCGAGCTGTTTCCTTTCCTCCTCCTCCTGTGGGAGACACAAGCTCGCTTGGTGAACGCAGTGGAGAGCGTTTGCATTTTCAACCCTGGTCATGAGGAGGAGAGTTTAACATCTGTTCTTTTTTAAATTAAAAATTCCTGGTATTTAGTGCAACTTGACACATTCCCATGGGGAAAAGAAACTAGTAATCCCAAAGAAACCAGTTCTGTGGTATTTTCCTTGAGCGCAGTGCTATAGCCAGGCAGGAGCAACCTCACCAGGGCAAGAGCTTACCTCACCCTTCCCTTTCATTTGGCTGTAGGATATCCCTCACCATATCCGCATCTGCTGGTGAAGAAGGCAGTCTGGTTTGAAGCCAGATCCCCCCTCTGAGAGGGGGAAAGCTGGGAGCCATCAGCCTGGGGCTGGGCACAGAGGGAACTGCACCTTCGCAAGGCTCTGACCCAAGCCCGTGCCCTTGCATGGATGCTGACACTGCGCTGTTTTAATTTGACAGCTTGGCCACTAAACGAGGCAGCTCCCAGCTCTCGAGGTGACTCCTGGTCTCATGGGCAGAGCTGGGAGATGTGACATTGGTGCCATCCAGGACTCGACCCCAAAAGTAAATGTGAAGCCATCATTTTTATGTGTTTTTATGCGAAAGGGCTAATGATATATCCAGATGAGAATGACGCCAGTGAGCAGGTGGGACAGAGAAGTGCAGAGAGGATGTGGCTAAATGGGAGCATCTTGCTAGCAAAATTATATCTCTCACTTCCTCTGCTGCTGTTTCACCTGACAGCCTTTGCTGCTGTCCCTTGCAGAGGGATGTGTGGTTTTCCCACTGTGCAGAGCCCAAACTCACACATGAAAAGCCAAACTCAACCCGAGTGAGCCTCAGGCGAGCATCAAGGGAAGATCTGCAGCAGGACCCTGTTCCCTGGCCAGGAGCTCAGCTCCCTGCCACATCACCCTCCAGCTCCGGGACACCCGCAGCCGGTTTGCGAGGTTTTATCTCTGCTGTGACCTATAATGGTACTTAAACTCATCTCAGCGGGGATATTTCTCCCTAAAGAGAAAATGACCCTGTGACGGAATGGCCAAGCACAGGATTTCAGCAGACGCATCCCACGCCCCTCCAGGCACTCCTGCCAAACTTCGCCTTTTCTCGCCAGGCCAGCCCTGCATCCTCCTCCACTCCCTGCATCCTCCTCCACTCCCAGCCCTGGCGAAGGCAGCCCGCCAGCCTGCTTAGCATTCGGCTCTCATTGCTGGGAGGAACCGTGGCTGCTAAGGAGCAGAGCTCGGTGGCTGCGAGCATCTCAGTTCAGTGTCCCCCCCAGCCCTGGCTCGCCATATGATTTCTCCTAAGGGATAACCGCTGAGCGGGACCACATCTCCAAGCTGATCCTTTGCTGATAAGCTGGCTGCCAGGTCTCCAGCGCTAAGACAAAAGAATTTTTCTATTCCCAGCAGGTTTTTTTGCTGTGAATGACAGAAGAAGAGGGAAAAGCAAGCTGCCAGGCACTCCTCGCAGGCAAGAGGCTTCGGGGGCTCCTTCCCCCCCACTGTGCTGGCAGACCATGGAGCTTTTCAGGCTGAGCCTGGGCTGTATTTGCCTCCTTCCTTGGCTTGAGGGTAAGTTTATTCTCCTTCGGGGTAGCTGGAAAGTGGGAAGTGAACTGCCCCCCAGGTTTTAACCTGCTTTCCTGCTGTTGAAGTGTTGCTTGGGCTGCAAAGCTCTGAACCCACCAGCTGTAAAAGAAGTGCCTGTGGGTGCATTTCAAGGCAGAATTTAAAATGGGATTAAACACAGGGGTACAGGAGAGTGAGGGACAGGCTGGCAAGGTTCTGGGATGGCTTGGCCAGGGACATCATGGCATCATGCCATCCACTTTTATAAAGTGCTTTTAAACTGCTAAGAGGAGCGGATGAATAAACCTGCTCTGGGGGTGAGGCAGGCACTAAGTGACCTCCCAAGCACTGTGTTTGCTCCCTGTCCCAGTTGCTCATTCCCGACAGAGGTGAGTAGGCTCAGAGCATGCTCTGAGAGGGTGGTGGGAAGGGGAGCGGGACATTGTTGCATTAGTCCTGCTCCTGTGGTGGTCAGCTGGGAGCGGGACGTGCTGGGGAGCTGCAGAGTCTGCACCACTCATCACCACGGAACAAACTTGGTAGTGGCTCATGTTAACATTCAGCTGCTTGCTGAGGTCACTCGAATCCTGTATCCTGCCTGCACACAGTAGGATTTTGAATCCAAGCAGCCTTGTTTTTGAAATGCATGGGTAGGTGAGAAAAGCAGAAGTCCTGCCAAGCATCATCCTGCAGAGCTGGAGCGGTGCTACCCAGGAACAGCTACCTGGGAGCGGTGCTACCCGCAGTCTCACCCATCCCATCATGGGCAGTGGGCAGCATCTCTTTTCTTTAAAAAAGGGCAAAGCCCCTGAGCTAATAAGTAATTCACCTTTTATTATGCCTGAGATGCCAGGTTGAAAGAGACTCATTGAAATAAATCCCTGAAGTGCTTCAAAGCTCATTCAGTCTCTGAAGCTGCAAGGAGGACAGCCCTGCAGTTTTGCAGGCTACTTGCTCAGAGCTTTTCAAGCTCCCTAGACCAGAGGACTACAACTATTTGGGCTGCACAACTGTGATGTTTATTCCTTAAAGACAAACCTCAGACTGGCAGCTCTGACCGTAATGCCTAGAATAGAATAAACTATTCTTTCAGCTGGAAGGGACCTATAATGATCATCTAGTCCAACTGCCTGACCATTTCAGGGCTGACCAAAAGTTAAAGCATGTTGTTAAGGGCATTGTCCAAATGCCTCTTAAACATTGACAGGCTTGAGGCATCGACCACCTCCCTAGGAAGCCTGTTGCAGTGTTTGAACACCCTCTTGGTAAAGAAATGCTTCTTAATGCCCAGCCTAAACCTCCTCTGGTGCAGCTTTGAACCTTTCCTATGTGTCCTGCCCCTGGATCCCAGGGAGAAGAGTTCAGCACCTCCCTCTCCACTCCCCTCCTCAGGAAGCTGTAGAGAGCAATGAGGTCGCCCCTCAGCCTCCTTTTCTCCAAACTAGACAAGCCCAAAGTCCTTAGCTGCTCCTCATAGGACTTTCCTTCCGGCCCTTTTACTTTCCATTCCCTGCTCCACAACCTCTAAGTGCGTGTTCCCTGGGCTGCTTTGAGCAGCTAGCCCTCAGTTTGCTCTGCAGCCAGGTCAAAGGAGAGGTTTGTGCTCCTACAGATTTGACTTTTCCTCCATCTATTGCTGTTTTTTGCACCCCAAATCTTGCCAATTAAAGTAAATCCAGTCAGTTGAACCTCTCTTTTTTTAAAGCCCCAGGCTGGTGGTATGTCACTGTACTAGTGAGGGATGAGGATACATGTGTATCTTTTAGAAGTTACAGGAGATCTGGTTAGGACCTGGAGGTGACACCATGATGGGATGCCAGGAGAGCAGAACAGCCTTTGGGGTCTTGCTCTTTCTCTTTCTCTCACTCTAATACAGATCTTGTCCAGTGTTAGAAGAAAGTGGTTCTTTACTACTGCCACATGACAGGAGCCCCATGGCTATGTTTTATTAGTAAATTAAGAAGGATCACAGAACATTCTGACAGGATATTTCTTTTCCTTTCCAGTGAAATGCTTTTGGTGCAATTGCATGATCAGCTGCTGCGTTTCAGCCATACCACTAATAAAACCACAACTGTTTTGCAAGAAAGGAATTTACCTTCCCAATACCTGGCAATGCCCAAAGCAAGCTCAAAGAGAAGAGAGCAAACATGTTTTTGCTTGGGGCTGATCTTCCCCCGCAGCAGCCTCTCCCCATCCCACCCTGCCTGGGGCTGCTGAGTTTTAAGGCTGCCGGCAGGACAGAGGTGCTTGCTCTCGACAGACCTTAGAGGGTTCAGTTTCCTGCTGGAAACTGGAAATCCTGGAATTGCCTAAACTGGTTCTGACAGTGGTTTCTTTGGAAAGTCCCTGCAAGCAGGGAGGGAGCTGAAGTGTTTTCTTAAGAAGTCAAGCCTAACAGTAACCCAGTGAGGTATGATGGGTGGTGGGAAGTCAGGCACCAGCAGGATCTGTGCACATATAAGCAGAAAGAAAACTGCTGAAATAATACCACATTTAACACCGACTCTCGATCCTCATGCACTGAGTGTGAGGCTGGTGGTGGCTCTGCTTGGCATCCTGGCCTGATCCCATATCCCGGGGGCTGCTCTCCTCCCCGCCGAGCCCATGTGCAGTGCTGGCTGCTGCCTGACCCCTCGCGCCTCGCTCTCCTAAGGCAGCCCTAAGCACCTTGCATTGAAGAGGCAGAAAGGCCAAGCTTATCTGATACTTCTCTCCCATATACTTTTCCAGACCCCAAGTATTTTCTGCTTGGAGGATTTCGTGATGCTGATGTGTTCAACTCTTCAGTAGCTATCAGATCTCCTGCCTCGGCTTGTGCAGGCTCACCATGGCAGCAAGGATGCACGGCTGCTGGGTGCAGAGCCACCCCCTGCATTCTGTGAGCCTTCCCTTGGCACCCCTTGTCCCATCTGTGGTCGGTCCTTAACCAGTCAGTCCCTGCCCATCCCCTCTGGACCTCTCTGGATTTTATAGATCTCCATCATATCCCCCCAGGGACTGGTTTTCCCCACATCCATCAGCTTCGTGTTGACTTCACCAGCCTCCCTTGCTTCCCATCATTTATCCATGTGTTTTTCCATGCCAAAACCTTCCTTCTTTTCCTGTGTCTGCTCTGCTCTCTTTGCTGAGATACTTGGTCAAAAGTGAACCTTGCAGTAACATGGAAAGCTATGAAGCCTTGTTGGTCAACCAAAAGCAAGGTATTTTGAAAGCAGG